CCCTCAGCTCTTCAGCTCAAGGCTAGTGCTCTACCACTTGAGTCACAGCACCACTTCCGGGTTTTTTCTTTTTGCTTATGTGGTGCTGAGGAATCGAACCCAGGGCCTCATGCATGCAAGGCAAGCGCTCTACCACTGAGCCACCTTCCCAGCCCTGTGAGACTCTTATCTCCACTAAATCACAAAAAGCTGGAAGGAGAGCTGTGGCTCAAGTGGTAGAGGACCAGCCTGGAGAGAAAGAGCTGAGGGACAGCACCCAGGCCCGGCCCTGAGTTCAAGCCCTAGGACACATGCACACACGCATGCACACACGCACGCACAATTAATCCAATAAAGCTGTCCAAGCCTTGGAGGCCGCTGCATCCCTGGGCCCACGGCCCGAGAGTCCACGATGCCGCCCAGCCCCCGCTGGCCCCGTCCCAGCCACACGCTGATGGCCACTTGGTGGTGGCCTGCTGGCGCCTCAGACCCGGACCCGACGAGCCCCTTGGAAAGCGCCTGTCCCCGCGCCCCGCGCTGGCCTGGCTCAGGCGCGCCTACGCCTCCCGCAGCCAGAGAACGAGGCGACGGCTCGGGTTCCATCCGATGACCCCGCGCGATGCTAAGGCCGCCGGGGCCCGCGGTGGGATCCCGTGAGCAGCGGGCTGTGCCCGGTGAGCGCGTGCCCGGGGCCCGAATCCACACGGCGCGCGCCACCTGCTCCTGGGTCGTAAGAGAAACCCCCCAGATCCGCACCGTCTGGTACGGCAGCTGGCACGCGCAGAGCCCGGCCGCCACCTTGGGCCGGGTCTCATGGCATTTGCTCCATGCGGCCTTTGTCCTCTGTCTCCCCCCCCCCCCGCGTGGTGACCGTGAGCAGTCCTGGTCCCGCAGGCCCCGGGGCGGGGCACTCTGAGGAAGACCCCACAGAGCCTGTGGGTGGGTGGGTGAGACGTCCACGCGTGATCACAGCCAGGCCGCGGGTGGCAAAGGGGCACAGGGGGCCGAGCATGGGGACAAGACGCTCCCGCCCCAAGCCCTGCTCCCGCGATGTGCTCACACCTCCTCACCGAATCCTTCAAGGCCACCCGCTTGAGGGGCACCTTTTCCAGACCTCAGAAGACGATTTCTTAACCATCCACAGAGCCTCCACCTCAGGAGGAGGCCGGGCCGGCGACACCAGACTCCACGTGTTCATGAAAACACCCAGCACCGCGTGCGGTAGCGCCCACCTGGCGTCCCAGCGCAGCTGAGCCCGCGGCTGCTTCCCGGTGCACACTGACATTTCAGGCTGGGCAGGTCGGTTCTGGGCACTGGGGCGATTCGCAACCCCCCTGGGCTGGTCCCCACGACGTGCCAGGAGAACGCTGGCCTGGCCGGGACAGACAGCCGTCTCCGGGGGGAGGAGCCACGTCCAGTGAGATGGACTTCGGCCAGCCTTCCACGGCCGTTGTGGAGAGGAAATCCACACCTGGCCCTTGGAAGCGGGCACACAGTGCATTTCTGCAGAGCAAAGTGACTGAGGCACAGAGAGGGACAGCAGCCTGCCCAGCGCTGCCCAGCCTGCACGAGGGAGCCAGGCACCAACGCCCCCCCCCCCCGACATAGCAGACTGCTACCATTCACCCGGGCCCAATGGAGCCTAGGGCGGCTTCCACCGTGAAGTGCGGCCGTCCCTGGCCCTGGGGAGGTGAGAGATGGCTTCTAGAAATAGGTAAAAATCTGAGCTCAGCCTCAATGCTGCGACAAGTGGACAGAGAGGGGACAACAGGGGACAGTCAGGAGGCAGGCGCAAGGCATGCAGGCACCACAGGGCAGGGGAGAGAGGGACAGGGAGGCCACAGCGGACCCCTGCGGGGGGCGCAGGACGAGATCATGGCAAGACCGGAAGCTCACGGGTGCCCACCGGGCAGACGCCGCTGTGTGGAGTCGTGAGCTCCAGGAGTGTGAGGCTGGCAGGGAAATGAGTGTTAAGCAGGGTCCCCCCCCCGCCCTTCCCCTCCCCCCGCAGGCCCCTGCAGCCTAGGACGCTGCTACAGACAGAGCCAGCCCGGCCTGGCTTCCCTCCGACGCACACTGCAGCCTGCCAGGCCTCAGACCCTAACACACAGGCCCCGGTGCCAGGCCACTAAAGGGAAGAACGCTCACGGTGGCCAAGGGCAGGCTCCGGAGGAACAGGCCTGCCTCTCGCACCCAGCACCCAGAAGAAATGCTGATCCTGTACTGGCTGGGTGTCGGAGTGCACGCCTCTCATCCCTGCTCTGGAGGCTGATGCTGCCGGAGGATCGCCGTTTAAAGGCCAGCCTGAGCGACACAGAAAGATCCTGTCTCAGGCTCTAATGAAGGACCTGGAGGGGCAAGGCCCCGAGTTCAAACCCAAGCACCACCAAAAACAAAATGAAAGAAAAGCAACTAAGAGAGTGTAAGCCGGGCGCCCGTGGCTCACGCCTATCATCCTAGCTGCTCAGGAGGCTGAGATCTGAGGATCACGGTTCAAAGCCAGGAGAGTCCGTGAGACTCCTATCTCCAATAACCACTAGAAAACAGAAGTGGGGGCTGTGGCTCAAGTGGTAGAGCGCCTGCCTTGAGCTGAAGGACAGCGCCCAGGTCCAGGGTTCAAGCCCCATGACCAACAAAAAAATTTAAAAGGGGCAAGATAGGGGAAGGTAGATAAGAATGGTA